ATCTTAAAGCCTTCGAAATCTGATAATGGATGGAAAATGGCTGGGCAATGGCCTGGCTGTTATAACCTTCAAACACCTTAAGTCTTTGAATCTTAAAACCTTAATTCTTAAACCATTGAAGCCTTAAATTCCAAAAGTCTTCAAATCTGAGACCCTTAGAATCTCAAAGTGTTTAGAATTGTTTAATCTTAACATCTACTCATCGGACTTACCGGAAAGGGAAGTGACAGAACGGGCAGGGCAAGGTGCCCGGTGGCCGGCTGTGTCGCGTCAGCGTGTAAATCCGGCCACCGGGGGCCCCTGACCCCGTGGTCCGTGACATCGCCGAAGGCCTAGGCCCGCAGGGCCTACCTTCAGGTATAAGGCCGTCCGCCCCATGCCGCCGACCCACCGCCGAACTTTTGCGCTGCGCCAAGCTGGGCCCACCCTTATAAGGGGCGAAGGATTTGCGGATTTGTTCAGGCGATTTTTGGCGGCTTTTTGAGCATCTCCCCGCGGAGTCAAAAAACGAGTGTTTTTTGGGGGTGCCCATAGTGGACAACATCCCCGGCATCACCTGCATCATCCGCATTCTTGGCGGACATTGATGCGGATGATGCGGGGGATGCTGGGGATGTTGTCCCCTAAGTCGGGCCAACTTTGCCGAAAACGCGCAACCTGAAAATCTTAAAATCTTAAAGTGGATGGAAAATGGATGGAAAATGGCCTGGATTGAAATCTCAAAATCCTAAAGTCTTAGATTCTTAAAATCTTACATTAAAATCTAACAATCAATAGTAGAATCTCGAGATCTTAAAATCTACGAACTTAGAATCTTAAAATCTGAAAATATAAAAACAGCCTAAAGTCTCGGGGGATGCTGGGGATGTTGTCCCCTAAGTCGGGCCAACTTTGCCGAAAACGTGCAACCTGAAAATCTTAAAATCTTAAAGTGGATGGAAAATGGATGGAAAATGGCCTGGATTGAAATCTCAAAATCCTAAAGCTTAAAATCTGAAAATATAAAAACATCCTAAAGTCTCGGGGGATGCTGGGGATGTTGTCCCCTAAGTCGGGCCAACTTTGCCGAAAACGTGCGGATCTCAATAGAGAAAGGGAGGGAAAGATCTTAGGGAGGAAAGGGGGGGGGGGAAGATCTTGGGGAGGAAAGGGAGAAGATCTGGGAGAACAGGACTTAGGGGGGAAAGGGGGGAAAGGATCTCAACCGGAAAAGAGGGGAAGGATCTTAGGCAGGAAAAGGGAGAAAGATCTCAGGGGGGGAAAGGCCTTAGGGAGGAAAGGGTCTCAACAGGGAAAGGGTGGGAAAGATCTTAGGGAGGAAAGGGAGAAGATCTGGAGGGAAAAGGCCTTAGAGGGAAAGGATCTCAACCGGAAAAGAGGGGAAGGATCTTAGGGAGGTCAAGGGAGAAGATCTCAAGGGGGGAAAGGGGATCTCAACAGGGAAAGGTGGGAGAAGATCTTAGGGAGGAAAAGCGAAAAGATCTCAGTGGGGGGAAAAGGCCTTAAGATCTCAGGGGGGGAAAGGCCTTAGGGGGGAAAGGGGGGAAAGGATCTCAACAGGGAAAGGGGGGAAAACATCTTAGAGAGGAAAAGGGAGAAGATCTTGGGGGGAAAAGGCCTTAGGGGGGAAAGGGGGGGAAAGGATCTCAACAAGGAAAGGGGGGAAAAGATCTTAGGAAGGAAAAGGGGGAAGATCGCCGGGGAAAAAAAGGCCTTAGGGGGCAAAGGGGGGGGGAAAGGATCTCAACAGGGAAAGGTGGCAAAAGATCTGCAGGAGGAAAAGGGAGAAGATCTCAGGGGGGGAAACTAAACAAAAAAAGGTGGAAAAGATCTTAGGGAGGAAAAGGGAGAAGAACTCAGGGTGGAAAAAGGCCTTCGGGGGTACAGGGGGGAAAGGCTCTCAATAAAGAAAGGTGGAAAAAGATCTTAGGGAGGTAAAGGGAGAAGATCTCAGGGGGGAAAAGGCCTTAGGGGGGGAAGGCCTTAGGAGGGAAAGAGGGGAAAGGGCCTCAACAAGGAAAGGGGGCAAAGGATCTTACTATGAGCCAAAACTTCGTCCTGAAGCATCCAAAGCCCCCACAGCTCGTGATCGCTGCGATTCCCTCACAGGGGGGCCCGGTCGGTGTAATTGCCTTCCGGCGCTGGTGTCTACCCCATCATTTGTGGCTTCGAAAAGGACAGGCCCCTCCCGTCCCGTCAGGCTGAATAACCCCAGTATGACAACTTATACAAAGAAGTCAAATCTGGGATGAGCTGTTTTTTGAGATTGCAAAAAAACTGCAGCCAACTGAAAGGTACCTGGTTTTACGGCACAGCCAAATAGCCATGACAAGGTCCAAACTCAAGTCCGAACTCTAAAACGACTTCGTCAGGTTGAAGGAAAAGGTCCTCTCTTTGGAAATGATGTTTTCTCTTCACATCACTTGGAACTTTTCCAGTTTCCCAAAGGCCAGCGGGAAACACCTCCTAGCCGTGTTGCGTTAGTCAAGTTGAGGCTTTGATTCTTCTATGTCCCTCCTCATTCTCTGTCGTGTTCTGTTTCCTCTTCTGCTTCTGCTGCGTAGGCAAAAAACATGCGCCCCGCCCGAACAGCAGCATGGGGAGCAACATTTCTACACCTCGCGATAGCTAGTGTCGCTGTACGATGCACGTCCAACGAAGTGCTGCCATGCATATAAGTTGATGTCGCAAGCTCGAACCAACTGCACAGTGGCATCTGTACCCCGATTGTGGCCGAAACATTGGACGCCAACCCGTCCTCCAGCTTTGCAAGCTTCTGAACACCTTGCACAAGCTCTGAACTGATCTGCCTTGAAACATGTGCCGCTCCGTACTGTACGAGGGCACTTCAAACGCCGAAGCAATCATGCCGCGCCCACGTTAAAACTCGGGCACTATGATTTCATGGCAAAGCGGCTGAAGGAAAACGTCTCAACAATGAGCTTATCTTTCCAGCAAACAAGATCTGTCCTTCCGTGTTGACGCCTGGACCGAAGCCGCATTGATTCATTAGAATCGGCCTGCAGTTAGCGCGTCACATTCCCTGGATTGGAACACTCGCAGCTTGACAGCTTGAGGCATGCCGACCTGCCAGCAGGAACCCGTCCTCTAAGACCCAAAAAGATCCACCCTGCCTGACCTGCGCCGCCCTTCTTGCACATAGAGCCAGCTCGCCCGCCCTAGTCGCCATCCACATCGCCGAACTACTTGAAGCGAGCCATTCTCCAACCAACACAAAATCATCCCCCAAGTCTGCTGCAATCAACTCCACCGCGCTACGCGGGAGAGAACGAAATTGCACACTGTGTACTTCCCAACAGCCACGTCGCTCCCAAACCAGCACAAGCTCCGCCGTCGCCATGGACTTCTAATCTTTTTTGACCCAGCCCTGTTACTAATACTGAGACTCTGCCTCCATGGTAGTTGTCTTTAATGTGCTCACGTCTCACACAACATGCAGTTCTCTAACACAAGTAAACCTGCTTGCTTCAAAACATGCAGCCTGCTTAAAGGACACCTCTGCTTTTCGAGCAGATTCACAGAGTTGGACGGAAGAATGCCGCGGATTCAAGCATGGCTGTCCGAAAATAACCTTTCTATGGTGGCAAACCCTTTGTCTTTGGTGGTTGGCTCCCTACTCAACAGAGGAAACCTTGGTAATTACCACCGAAAATCCCCAAATGCTTTCAACAACCACGGGTTCAAGCGCAACTGTGACAGGTCGTGAATAGTTGGTGGATGTTGGTGGGTTCGTTTCTGAGCTTTCCCGTTACCCGAGTACAGCCATGTCAAGGATCGCATTCCGCACGTTACGAACAAATCTGGCATCGCGCCAAGTTTTGAAGCTCCCTATGGGCCCGTTCCAAGAAGAAAACAACATATAGACAGTCGACGATTAGCCCCTACTGCTTCACTAAAAGAAACCCGTCATGACATGTAAAAATTCTCAAACAAGATCCCAAAGGAAAACTGACTCCTTTAAAAAGACACCCTCAAATGCATTCTGCAAATGATGGTTCGAAGGACAACAAACCCAAAGTAATTTTCAGAACCCTGCTGACTCCGGGTAAGACCCATGGTGTCGGGCTCGAAAACAACCAGGGACTATCGGACGTTCTTACACGATGGAGGCCTCCTTGAAAAGGCCGCCGACCCCTGGATTTAGTTGTGGTTTTCGAGCAAAAAAAAGTGCATTTTTTGTGCTGTTTCTTGGTCTCACTGTAAACTTGAACCCCAGTAGCCGAGCCACAACCCTGCGTACAGAAGCCAGGGTCCTCCCTAGCCCATATGCTTGCTTGCGTACTGACGCCAGGCGCGACTGCGAGTGGAGAGCGGGGCTGAGAGCTGCTTTCTCTTGACGAGATAGAAGGGCATCGTGTGGCAAGAAAACGTGTCTGGCATCACCAGCATCGCCCGGGCGTGTCTATTGGTAATGCAGAGGATGCTGCGGCTCATGGGGGGGTGGAGAGCGGGGCTGAGAGCTGCTTTCTCTTGACGAGATAGAAGGGCATCGTGTGGCAAGAAAACATGTCTGGCATCACCAGCATCGCCCGGGCGTGTCTATTGAAAATGCACAGGATGCTGCGGCTGCTGGGGGGGTAGAGAGCGGGGCTGAGAGCTGCTTTTTCTTGACGAGATAGAAGGGCATCATGTGGCAAGAAAACGTGTCTGGCATCACCAGCATCGCCCAGGCCACATTTGAAATGTATAGAAGAAAGAGATGTTCATGACAATCATGATGAGGATGATGAAGGTGATAACTATGATGACAATCATCATGAAGATGATAAGGATGATGACTCTTATGATAACTATCATCGTACAAGCAAATGCTCCTCTTGAAACATTGGTCCAATTCCCTGCTGGGCTGTCAAAGGCTCTTGTAGCTACACGGGGCGAAATGTTCACCTTAGGCATCATCTTTGGTGGTGAAGGGAAACGATCAACAATTTGCGCGTGCGTAGCCAAGAAGGAAACATCTTCACTACTTTCGCCGCAGCTCACGGCGCAGTCTCCGGAACCATCTCGTACTCTGGGTGAAACCGGTCAAAGCTGATCCAAACATCAGCATCCTGGATCTGGTCCCACCGTAGCGCGTGGATCCACACAGCAGTCACATGAAACACGGGACCGAAATTGTCAGCTTCGTTCTCTGGCATATGCGTCGACGCTGCCCATTGCTTGGCCCCTGCGCTGAGCTTTGGATATCCTTGAAAGCCTGACATGAACTTCGCCACCTGGAGCTCGCATTTGATTGTCCAGTACACGCCATCCATGAAAAGCTCCGAACTGACACTGTAGCCTGCAGATTTATTTGCAATTTGCTTGTCCGTGTTCAAAGAATGGCAGTAAACGCCGACTAAGCCGCTTTTGGTTGCTTCGCCTGGCTGAGTACCATTCTGCAATATAGAGCACGCAGTGTACATACTTGAGCTGTGAATGGCTGGCGAGTAGGCTTCCCGTGACCCATCTTCAAAGCCAAAAGACATGCGGCCTGTTTGCGGATCATGCTCCACAGTAGCATGGCACAAGTCCAGGGAGGGCTTCACAAAAGGACGCTTCAGCACACAGCGCCAAAATTTGCCAGTCTGCTGCTGCCAGCTGCCCCAAGCCAAATTGGCCTCTGTGATGCTTTGGAAGAAATCGTTAAACTGCACCCCTCGGGCGGCAAACCAAGATTGCAGCTTCGACAGCTCTGGCTCAGCAGGACGCTCCGGCTTTGATCGCTGCACATCTTGCTTCACGCTCTGCCAAAAAAGAGGTGGTGTGTGTCGTTGATAATGCGAATGCACAGGATCTCCATTCCGATTCAACGGCAATTTGCTCTGCCCTTTCGGCTGAATAAGAGCCTCAAAGCGCGAGTCCTCGGGAACACACAGCACTTCTACAGGGATCTCTGGAGGCTCCGCAGCCTGTATGCCTGCTCCTGCACCAACTTCCTCCCTTGCGTATTGCACCTCTTCAGCAATCTGTTCAGTAGTAGCTTCCTCCGGCACCGCGTTGACCAATTCATCCAGAACTGGCTGCGGCATGGCCCGGAATACAGCAGAATGTGTGCCTGGAGTCGCCAGGGAGAACTGCCGCACGGTGAGTTCACTCGCCACAAAAATACTATGAAGACGCCAGCTCGAGCACAAATTTGTAACGACAACGCTTTCAACAGCTGCGAGAATGCCTTGACGGCGACGCTTTGCTAACGATGCTTTTGCAGTGCCCCTCGGGGCGTGCCTCCTGCCATGGCTTTCTGTGCTGCACGGAGCATCTCCGTTGCAGTGGTTGCCACACCTCCCGAGAACGCACCGGCTTGCAGCTGTGCGCCGGCAAGCCTCGTGAACACATTGCATGGCTGGAAGCATATATAGTAAAAGTACAACACAGTACTGTAAAACTGCTGCAGTAGTGAACACGTTGGTTTAAAGCAACTGCAGCCGCAGTTATTGTCGCATAGCTTTGCAATTTGCGGCACAGCATGTTACAGCACAATACTGTGCTACATGTTGTCTCACCAACGGTTTTTGTGGAGTTGTATCTGACTGCCTCTCCTTGCAGTTTGGATCTTGGCATGCCATAAACAGAAAACGCCTGTGGCCACTGCCCACCCCTCCTACAAGCGATTAGCGCAGCTGATGAGCCACCAGCCAGGCATAAGTTCACTCAACTGCGCTGTTATGCATTGGACTACTCAGTACAGCGCATTACAGTACAGTAATACGCAGTACCCTAGAGTAATGTACAGTACAGTAGATGGCGCACTACCAAGCCAGCTGGCCAACAACCAACACTCAACTGCGCTGTTATACATTGGACTACTCAGTACAGCGCACTACAGTACAGTAATACGCAGTACCCTAGAGTAATGTACAGTACAGTAGATGGCGCAATACCAAACCAGCTGGCCAAAAACCAACAGATGTTTTCAGCACTGTACATCAACAATTAGAGTACAATACAAGGACTGTAGCCAAACACAAGTCCCAGAACCATCCCCAGAAACAAGGACTGCAGCCAAGCGCAAGTCCCAGGGCCATCTCCCTATCCCACACTACAGTACAGTACATTACAACACCATACAGTGCAGTACAGCACAGTACAACTGCAATTACCCTAACCAACAGGCAGCGTCCCTTGCAGCCAGGTCGTCCGACTAGCGATACTCCAGTAGCACTGCGACATAAAACACGTGTGCAAATCTTTGTAAGTAATGAGACACATATGCACTGTCAACAGCCACACCAGAATATATAAATCTACATATATATATACATATGTTTGTATGTGTATATATATGTATATACTAGTATACCTGCTGTGTATACATATATGCACATTAATATACCGTGCGCCCTGTGTGTCCGCGGACTTCCACACAAAAGGTGACGCAATTCGACGTTCAGGGCTGCCTGGAATTACAGTTGAGGAGGCGCTGAATTGGAAGGCTGCAAACAGCTGCGTCATAGCTGACGCCAAACTGCTGTTCAGCATCTTGTGATCCTACCAAGGCTGACACAAAAAGCCAGGACATTGTACCGAGTTCCAGGAATAAACAGCTGGGTACAGTGAGGGGTGGATCAGCCCTACAACCAACAAACGCTCTGAGTGCATCCACGCTTGCCAGCTGCACACGACAGTAGGCCAGCGCCAGACATGCCCAGCACCTTTTACCCACACGAAACTGCGCACGTCCATCAAGCAACTTTTAGGGCCGTTGCGCGTGTCCAACACGTAAACAGCCATGCACCTTCTATCAAGTAGAGCTGTCTAGCACGCACTTGTTGCAAGCTAATGCTCGCCAAAAGCGCAAGATGCGCAAGTCTAATTACTGATGTTTGCAAATCGCAATGTTTTGCCAACTTGACCGACAAGGCTCCGCCTACGCAGTCTGCTTTGCTACCCTCCAAGAAACAGCTCCCTCATCGTTTTCTTTCTGGGCCCGCTAACACGACGCAGCCACGCTACGCCGCAAACAACTGCCAGTCTAATACCAGTTCGCTATTCCCTTGGCCCTCCCTGCCTTTCAGCCCAGCTTTGGCATCCCCCAGAACGACAAAAAACAGCTTCCTGGAAGCGGTGCCTGGAGACTGCCCCTAAGTGAGCGTGACTTTCCACATCTTTCCACGTCCACCCAGCTCTGCCTGCAGCAACAACCAAGTCAAACTGATTCCAAAAATAGTGGGGCCTTTCACTGCCCCCGAGTAGTATGCGGCAGCGCCGAATACGAAAATGGACCGTCTGACTTGGTCTAATAAATCAAGACCTGGGTTGGAGAAATTATTCGCATGAGGTGAAGCCGTGCAGCCACTTCCTGAAAACGGCCCTTCTCCAACTGCATCGAAACAAATGGATACGAATATCTCTTACCCGCAACTAATAAAACAAGGCTGTCTAGTACTCCTTGCGCCGAAAATGGCCTTTCGCCTTGCCTCGCAGCACAAACGGCCTTCCACCTCACCCTTCCGCTGACCTTTCCGCGACACTGGTAAAACCACACATTTTGGCACGTGTCCACACATACATGTGTTTCATTGTGTTTCTATGAATTAAGAGTAGGGCAAGCCAAATGGAAGAGCTAGAGCAGAAGACAAGAAACATACTAGCAATGGGTCAACGATGGGAAGAGAAGCAGGCAGCAAAAGAAGCAGAACAAGTAACAGGAGGAAGAGGAAAGGCAGAGATAGCAAGTAATAGCAAGAGGAACTGGAGCAAAAGATGGGGGCAAGAAAGCGGCAACGAAAAGCTAGACTTCATAATGTATCCTTCGTGCGGCGCGAATGCTTCAATCCGGGCTTACATGTCGGTATTGTTTTGGGTATCGATTTAAGCGCTGGCACCCCGCTTCACCTGCAGTAGCGTGAGCGATAGAGGCGGAGCTTGGGAAGGGGAACAGAATCAGGCAAGAGAAGGAGCTGCATAACAGAAACAAACGCAACGGACACAAGCGACATGTCATCAAGCCAGAACATGCCAGGTCGCATTTGGAGCTCCGAATGTGCGAGAAAAAACAAGTTTCGGACTTTGCAAAGCACACGTGGACAGCTCCAGCTGGCCACAGACACTGGGCGGTATAGTTTCAGAATCGTGTCGCATCATTTGGCGCATAGTTCTCAGCTCAGTACAGGAGCAGTACACAAAGTACACCTTGGCAGCTCAGCTTGAACATCGTAACATTTAAGTACCAATGTAGCACACAAGCGGCCCCAGCTCAAGCATCGCAACCTTTCCTTGCAGTACACGCCTTTAACAACCAATTATCCTTTCGAGTTCAGTCATTATTAGAAAGCCCCTAGGGGTTGTAGTCGATCCTCTGATGAGAAGCCAAATGCGCCATACAGCCATGCCGCATGCCCTTGAACGATGAACACTCCGTATTTATGGCAATCCCCAGAATCAGAATCCATAGCGTGGCATGGTCACGATCCTCGACTCGCAAACAGCCGATGGCCGTCCACTGAATTAACAATTGCCCCAAATAAAAGAAAACACCTTGACGTCTTGCCCGCAATCCCTGGCCTTCGTCAAGGCGCCCCCTCTCGGTGCGGCTGCTGCTGCTGCAGCTGCTTGCAGCTTCTGCCACCGCTGCCACTGCTGCGTGAAAAAGGGGAAAAACTTAAAACCTGCCAAAGGACAACCTAGAAGAGGAATGAAGGGATGTGCAGGAAAGTGACTTGAAATTGGAAGCGAGGTTGAAGTCGCGGGAACCACAATGAACTAAGGGAAAGGAATGCGAATGAAGGGGCGTTCAAGGAAATGAAGGGAGCTGAAGCGGAAATGAAGCGAAAGGAAGTGAAGGGAAATGCCAGGAAGAGAAGACATGCAAAGGAAGCAAAGTTCGCATCCCGGAAGCTAGCGGGAATTCAAGGAAAAGAAAATACAAGAATGGGAAGGGCAAGGTGCCCGGTGGCCGGCTGTGTCGCGTCAGCGTGTAAATCCGGCCACCGGGGGCCCCTGACCCCGTGGTCCGTGACATCGCCGAAGGCCTAGGCCCGCAGGGCCTACCTTCAGGTATAAGGCCGTCCGCCCCATGCCGCCGACCCACCGCCGACCACGTGCCGAACTTTTGCGCTGCGCCAAGCTGGGCCCACCCTTATAAGGGGCGAAGGATTTGCGGATTTGTTCAGGCGATTTTTGGCGGCTTTTTGAGCATCTCCCCGCGGAGTCAAAAAACGAGTGTTTTTTGGGGGGTGCCCATAGTGGACAACATCCCCGGCATCACCTGCATCATCCGCATCCTTGGCGGACATTGATGCGGATGATGCCGGTGATGCGGGGGATGCTGGGGATGTTGTCCCCGAAGTCGGGCCAACTTTGCCGAAAACGTGCAACCTGAAAATCTTAAAATCTTAAAGTGGATGGAAAATGGATGGAAAATGGCCTGGATTGAAATCTCAAAATCCTAAAGCTTAAAATCTGAAAATATAAAAACATCCTAAAGTCTCGGGGGATGCTGGGGATGTTGTCCCCTAAGTCGGGCCAACTTTGCCGAAAACGTGCAACCTGAAAATCTTAAAATCTTAAAGTGGATGGAAAATGGATGGAAAATGGCCTGGATTGAAATCTCAAAATCCTAAAGTCTTAGATTCTTAAAATCTTAAATTAAAATCTAACAATCAATCTTAGAATCTCGAGATCTTAAAATCTTCGAACTTAGAATCTTAAAATCTGAAAATATAAAAACATCCTAAAGTCTTCGAATCTTGAAATCTTAAAACCCTTATGTCTTAGAATCTTGCGATCTTAAACTCTTAAAATATGAAATTCCTACAGTCTTAAACTCTTACTCTTGAAATTTGGAAATCTTGAAACCTCAAGATCTTAAACTTACAACCTTAGAAGATCGAATCTTACAATCTGAAAATATAAACATCCTAAAGTCTTCGAATCTTGACTTCTTAAAACCCGAATATCTTTGAATCTTCAGATGTTAAAATCTAAAAATATGAACTTCCTAAATTCTCAAAGTCTTAAAATCTCAGAATCTGAAAAGCTTTCAAAACTTAAATTCTTTAAATCTCGAACTATTGCAATCTGAAAATAT